GTTGACTGGACCCATTTCAAATACAGCATCTCACATGTCACATGGACCATGAGACAATCCACATTCCTGCCACACTTCTCTTATAATTACCCTTCCCAAAAGACTTTTCCAGACTCTCTGCAACCTTACATTTGCTATGCCTCAAATCCTGATGTTGATTCATACATCTTTTAAAAAGGGAAGGCTTAGCTCTTTTACCCCTCTTTATCAGTGTACCCTCCATTCACTGTCTCCTTCATACAACAATGAAGGATGACTCTTCTATCTCAGAACAGCTTTTTGTATTCCCACGAGTTAGTGATTGCCTTTGTTTTTCATCTGTGGCCATCTGCCATGCTAATCCCAAATCAACATATTCTTCAACTCCATCCATTGAGGTTTCTGCCCACTCCAACCCACTGAAACTTTTCTTAGCAAGGTCATGCACTTGCTGCCAGATTTGGTAGATAAGACTAGGTCCTCACTGTCTATATTCCCTATGCAGCATTCAACACAGTTACTCTGATCCATTTCTAAAGCACATTTTGTTTGGCTCCAGTGAAACTATCCTTACTTGATTTTTCTTCCCTAACACTGGGTACTTCTTCCCAATGTCATTTTCTGCTTCCTCCTTCTAAATGTTAGAACAACCCAGAATTTATTTCTTCATCCCTTCCCTTCTCTTATTTGAGGTGATTTTATACACTTTCTATAGCTAATGATTCCCAAATTCTTATCTCCATCCTGGGCCTCTCTCCCAACTGTCAGACTTATAGTACCCAATGATACCTCCCTGTGCGTGTCCAATGGGCCTCTGAGACTTAACCTAGTCAACTGGATTCTGGATTCTCTGCTGCCCCCTGCATCTCCCAAGCTTCCCCAACTCTGCCATCAACCACCATCCCACCAGCTGCTCCTCCCACACCTGACCCTCACCCTACTCACCCTGCTCCTTCTCTTCCCTCACCCTTGTCAGTCCTACCTCTCACATGCATCACAACTCTATCTGCTTCTTGCCAGTCCTGCTTTAGATCCTACCATTTCCTTGTCCCAGAAGGCTCTGTTCCCCTCGTCTCTGCCCAGGATCCTCTTAACTGGCTTATATGGGCCCTAGGGAGAGGAACCAGTTCTAAGATTATGCCTGCAGGGATCATTTCTAGAATTCGTTCCTGGAGAAGTTTCTCTGATCTTGAAGTGTTCTGGAAACCACGAAGAAGAGCCCAGAGTTTCCTACCGAGGGTGAAAGCAGCTCTTGGTGTTGCTTTACTACAACTGTCTTTTTGCCATCGATGATTATTCTTCTATCCCCTTCTTCAGGAGGGTGATAAGGGGGAAATGCAGCCTGAGAGCTTTCCACTAGAAAGAAAGAAAGAAAGAAAGAAAGAAAGAAAGAAAGAAAGAAAGAAAGAAGGAAGAGCACGTCCTGACTCTCTTATAGAGTATCCCTCACTCCCACCACTATGATTATCTAACTCGAGTCTCTGTTAATAGATCACATGGCACCTACTGCAATTTGCAGTTCAATGTGTGTGTGTGTGTGTGTGTCCTTTTCTAATGACAGCCCTAAGGAAGACGTGTCTCCATCTCCCATGTTCCATACTGTGGCCTCTCCTGCTAGAGGGTCTGTCACATGGGGGGTTTTCAGTGCATAATGGCAAGAAGGAAGGGAAGGAGGGAAGCCCTGGCCATCACTCTAGACTCATCAGGAGTTGCTGTGTGACCTAGAGCAAGTCACACTTATTTCTATGGTTACTAGTTGGATGTGCAAACCCTCTTCCTAGCTTACTGACATCTTAAGGGAATCATATAATGTTGCTATAAAAGTTTTAGGTTTTCTAGGATGTTCTCCTAACTAAACGTTGCAGATCTCCAGATTAAACCCCAAGGATCTTAACTTTCTTTAAAGGACTCCCCTATCCTTAAACCAGGTTATCTGAGAACAGGTATCAGTTCACTCATTTCAGCAGACCATCTGCCTCTCCCCACCCATCCTGTGTCTTTCTCTCCTCTCATGTGCACCATCTAGTGGCCCTGCCAGTGTCCCAGGGACAGGGCCGCATTTTTAGATGAACTCTGCGCTAGCAGCAGCACAGCTTTCTCTCTTCCCCCGTTTTCCATTTGTCTCATGTGAGGACTCTCCACCATGAAGACATGGGAATCATTTGTAACTGTGAAGAAGTGAACAGCAGGGACCAAAATTATAGGATCCCAGAGGATGGGATGGAAACATTTGCAGAACATGCTGGTCCTAAGTCGAACAGGTACAGAACTGAGGTGGATCCACACCAAGACTAGCTGAAGAGCCAGGTGCCCTGGTGCTACCTGTCATCCAGCTCCTGGATGGCTGAGGCAGGAGGACTGCAACTTCCAGGCCAGCCTTGGCAACTTAGCAAGACACAGACTCAAAGAAAAAGAAAAGTTCTGAAGATTCAGTTCAATGGCAAAAACTTTGCCCAGCAACTGGGGGCCCCTGGAATGGAGATCCCCAGCACTGCAAAAAGTCCCACTGCTCCTGCCTCCATGAACATGGCATCTCTACTCACCATTTCCCTGGGCTCTGAGGTCATGGTCAGGAAGAGTCAACAATGACCACCATTAGAAATGTGCAAACAGGCCCCTCCTTCATTCTCTAATTACGAAAGTTTTTTTTTTCTTCTTTTTGAGGGGTTGTGCTGGGGATTGAGCCCAGAACTCTGCATATGCTCAGCACCTGAGCCATACCCCACCTCCTATAACACAATGTGTCTTTGCACCAAAATCTACTATAGTTTACTTTTGTTTCCCATTGCTGGGTTTCCACACTACAGCAGCATACCTGAGATAACTAGCTTATGGAGAATTCAAGTTGATTTTGACAATGCTTTCAGAGGTTTCATCAGTTGGCCTTGTTGCTTCTGGGTCCACAGCAAGGCAGCGTATACTGAGGGGTCACAATGTGAAGCAAAACTGTTCACCTTGCAGCTGGGAAGCAGAGAGAGCAAGGACAGGCCAGGGTCCCACTGACCCCTTCAAGGACGTGGTCCCAACGAAGTCCTCCCACTAGGCACCACCTCTTCAATTTTGAAGCACATCCTAAAAACATCTTTCTGAGGATCAAGGCTTTATCACAGGGGCCTTGTTGACCTTGAGTGTCCACACTGTAGCACAGCCCTCTGGAACATGTTCACGGTTCCCACCTCCCCTCCTCTACCTGAATATAAGCCCCATGAAGGCAGGAGGCCCTCCCCACCTAATGTAGGCCCACTTCCTAGAGCATGAGCCCAGAGACTCCTGCATGCCAGGCAAGCACTGCAGCACTGAGCTGCACCCCCAGACTGAGGACAGGATTTCTGTCTGCTTTGGACACTGGTGTTTCTGAGCATCTGTAATGGGGCGTATCAGCAGATGGGGAGAAGAATTAGGTCAGTCACACTGGGACATTATACTATGATAATTATTTGCACATGTTGGCTTGGATGAGGTCAATGTGGTCACAGGGTGTTTAGGAGGCTTCCCTGGGGCCATGGCTGGGCTCAAGCTCTTGGCCTTCTAGGCCAAGAAGGCCAATGACCTGCATGTGCAACCCAGGTCAGCCTGACCGGCTCCTCAGGGCTGGAGCTCACACTAATGACTCAGGGTCAGCAACTCCAGGACAGAAGGCTCTGGTACTGCTTGACTGTCTCAGCCTCTCCACGTCCTTGAGGAGGGTGACATGAGGACAGAAAAGCCCAGGGCTATCCCATACTCATCAGCAAGGGTGGAGGGGGCAGGCCGCTCAGAGACCACTCAAGACACAGCTCTTATTTCTTCCTCATTATCATATATGGGTGCCCCAGGGAGCAGCCTGAGAGGGACTTTAGACACAGGGTGTCTGCTGCAGTGGGCCTGGGGAGGGATGGGGAGAGGCCCAGGCAGAGGGGCCACTGTCTTGCAGACCTCATCTGACCCCACGGGGAGCTCTGGAGCTGAAATGCTCCTTCAGAACAGAGGTGTTTTGCATTTAGGCCCAAATGAACCAGCCACTGGATGTGGTCACCAGGAAGGGTGTGACCCTGGATCAGGTTGCTTTGTGCCCTTAGGCCACTTGCTGACCACATTCCCAGCTGCTGATTGGCAAGCACTATGGGAAAAGGGAGTCTAGGGAGTGACTCTCCTTTCCTGTTCTCTGAATTGAACAGCACCCCTTCCATAGAGCCCATCTAGATATAAATTTCTTTCATTTTGAGAAATTTGCCTCCAGTTCTTTTTTTTTTTTTTTTTGCATAAACTAGCTGGAGTATTTGGGGGTCTGTGCCCCAGCTGGTATCATCTTTCCCTCCCCGAGAGACTGAGGCTGGTGTGCGATTACGAAGGTTTATTTCCTTGCAAAGGGGAGGGCAAAGAAGCTGGGGTGGCAGGTGAAGGCAGCTCAGACCCCTATGGGCCTTCTGAGCTGGGCTGGCTCCATCCCCAGGTAGCTGCAGCAGGTGGACTCTTCTAGCTGCAGAGCATTGCTCCTCCTGTCGCTAGCTGCCAAGCCTCATCAAAGTCCTGGTGGCACGCGGAATCGATGGAGCACTTATCTGTGGGAAGGTCCATAAGAGTGTGGGCGTCCTGGGGTGGACAAAGCTCCCAGACCTCCACCTCTGTGCCCCCCGGTGGGCGCCCGCCCCGCCCACCCTCCGCAGTAGCGCACCTCTGTTGCAGCGTGGGCCTGGGGAGGTGCGCGGGCTCTGCCGCCAGGGCTGGGGCGGGCAGCTCGTGCCGTCGACGCAGCGCAGCGATCGCCCGGCGCACGAGAGGCAGCTGGCCTGCCCCTGCCTGTCGATTGTTCCGGAGCAGCTCGGCGGTGGCGGGGGCGGCGTCCTTATCTTGTCCTGCTAGCGACGCCAGAGCCGCGGCGGCGTTGTTGGCTATGGCCGCCAGAGCGTTCTCCGCGGCATTTCCTGATTCTGTGAGTCCCTCTGTGAGTCCCTCTGTGAGAGACAGTCCGGGCACGCTGTCTGCTGCTGCGGCCGACCCTGAGAGCCCTTCGTCGTCGTTTCCTGCTCCTGCTCCTGCTGCTTCTCCTGCAGAAGCCCCAGAAAGCCTTCGGTTTTCATGCCCGTGTGCTAAGGAAAACAGAGACTCTGAGTCGCCCGAGGCGCTTTCTGTCCTACCGGAGAGTCTACTGGGATGGATGCGGGTGAGCGCCATCAGGGAGGCGGTGGGGAAAGTGTGGGCACCCGGGAGCGGCACAGACTGGGGTTCCGACTCAGGAGTGCAGCTGATACCATAAGACTGAGGTCCTTGGGCCAGGCGGATCTGGAGAGCACTCAAGGGTAGGTGCAAAATGGACTTAACTTCTGTTTTCAGGTGATTGAAGACCAGCTCTCAGTAACAGCCCCCAGCATCCTCACCTTCAGTTGTGGAACGGGTCTCCCTGGGCTATGACAGAGGGACACCTTCCTCTTCAACAATGAAGCCACCACTGTTGTACCCTCCTCTGTCATCTGCCCACCAGACCCCTATTGCACTTCCCATTACCCCATTATTCAAACCTCTTCCCTAGGCCCTGGTAGAGGGCCCCTGACCATAGGCAGAGCACACACAAGCCTTTTCTCCCACTCTGGCCTTGACCTTGCAACCCAACACCAACCGAGCCAACCTTACTTAGGTCCATGATCCAGTACTCACCTGCTAGGTCCCCCAAATGGGTTCCAGGGCCCAGAACCCTGGGGAGGACAGGCACCTGTGGGGCCTGAGACCATCAGAGGAGCCAGGCACACAATAGGGAGGCTGTAGGGGTTGCCCACATGCCCACTCTCACATATCCCACAGCCCCACGTGGAGCCCCTGTAAACCTCAGCAGAACTGAGCTGGGGATCAGACTTCCTTCAGCTCTGCCACAGCTGGCATAAAAAGGAATTGGCTGGACACACAGTAGAAGAGAATTGGGTTAGGTACCCAGCAGAGCTTCCTTGCAGGATGCTTGGGTTGTCCTCCTGCTCAGGCCAGCTTGGATCAGTAGGCCTCTCTGTTTGGGGACAGCTACCTGTGGCTGAGAGCAGTTGATGCTGGGTGGGGAAGGCCTGGAATTGCAGATGGGACAGAGCTTCCTATCCTCCAGCTAGTCCAGAGGAAAGGTCCCAACAGGCCCAACACAGACCTCCCCGGTGCATTCTCTCAAATCCAGGCCAAAGCCCAGTTACTGGAGAAGCATCTCTCATTTCCCTCCAGCCCCTGTGTGCATGAGTTCAGTGTCCAGCAGTCCCTTATGCCCCTTAAAACTGGCTTCTTCTAAGCATTCTCTCTTCCTAGGCCCTGCTTAAGCACTGATCACAACAGGCAGTCCCGAGATGGTCCACAATAGTACCTGACTCTGAATTGCCCTGTGTGACACCATGCTTGCAGCCCGTGGAGTGGCATGCAGAAGTGAAGACCAGCAGGCCAATGATGTAGGCGAACAGCAGATTGCCAGTCATCCTGTTTCTCTGGGTGAGGCCAGGGAACAGTGCTCTTGGGCTGGATCTGTGCTGGTGCCTTGGTGGGTTGTCTATTTATATTTCACAGGTTCCGCAAGAGGCAACGTGGCAACCGCCTGTGTCATACCTTAAAAAGAAAAAATACAGGAGGACAGTAGAACACCATGTCCCAGAAACACCCCTTTCCATTCCCAAGAACCTGGCCAAGTCAATGAAACAATAAAAGCAGTCCTGGACCTGAATGTCCATATATATATGTATATTATCTTGAAGATCTTTCTCTCTCTCTCTCTCTCCTTTGTGGCTTAGCTCAGAAGGATGTGGTTGTACCCAAACTGGTCATGCTGCTCTAACCTTCATGTCATCATTGTATAAAGGAGACAGTGGATGAAGGGTACATGTAATGACGAAGGGTTAAAGAGTTAGTCTTCCTTTCCTACAAAATGTATGAATCAACATCAGGAGTTGAGGCATAGAAATGTGAGATTGCAGAAAGTGTGAAAAAGTCATTTTGACAAGGAAAACCACAAGAGAAGTATGGAAGGAAGGTGGGTTGTCTGGGGGTCCATGTGACATGTGAGATGCTGCATTTGAAATGGAACCAGTCAACAGTAAAGAGACTTTTCCCAATCACTCAGTGCTCTGAGTGGTGGCTACTTTGGAAAGCAGGCTCTGTGCCCAAGTGGACTTTGGGGTCTACAATGGGACCTGGGGTGGAAATGAAGGTGTTAGAATGAAGACCCTGGCAGGTATGGCTGATGGAGACAGGGATGTCTTGGCTGGTGCCAGCAGTTGTGCTCCTGAATCAGTCTGGTTCCAAGTGTTTTCAGATAGGAACTAGGACTGAAAGTGCAGGGAGGGTAAGGTGTGGGCAATGCACATCTGCTCTTGGCCTGTCTTACAATGCACAGAGCCCGTGGACAGTGGCTTGCAACCTGGCCTGTTTCCGGACACAGGTGGATGAAAGGGTTCTTCCTCACCTGACTCAGGAAGCTGCTACATCTGGAAAATTTTCTTCAGCGTTTAGGATTGACCTGAAGAATACAATACTACTTTTCATGAACTGCACAATGGCACAGTTTCCTCAAACTTTAACATGTTCAATATTCAGTGCCCACAACAACTGTGCAGTGGCTTCTGCTCTGCCTTACTTTACTCTGGAGGAAAGTGAGGCATTGAGATCAGTGACCTGTGCAATCAGGAAACTCCAACCAATACAGGACAGGTCCTGCCCCTGGCCACTGGTCTCCAGTGTCCCTAATATGAACTTCCCATGACTTCTTTTTGAAGGCTCTTTAGTCCCTAGGAGGTCATTCCTGAAAGGCTTGTGTCAGGCCCTCAGTGTGGCAGGCTCCCTCCTTGTCTACCCCACCTCTTAATGTACTTGGTAGGGTGAATCCACCTATCCCCTGGAGTTTCCTTAAAGGGCCCTCATGCCTCAAGAGGGAGCCAAGCACCTGCAAGGGCTGGGGGAACTGGGGAGTGTGCACAGCCTGAGAAGCATGGATTCCCAGCCTGGGTCCAGGACCAGAGTGGTACTCTAGTGGCCTGGGTGAGAGAGGCTGACCCTTTAGACTTGCCAGGCTGAGGTCAGGAACATGGCAGCTTTCCTGAGCTGGGTCCATTCACTGAAAACTCCTCCTCCCACCTTAGGCCAGAGCTCACATGGACCCCACTCCACCCTGGCCTGATATGTCACTTCCTAGGGTCCAGGGTAACTGCAGGGGCAGGTGGCTGTTGGGACCCATGAAGATCTCCTTGCACCTGTGAACTTACTGGCCCTAGAGTTCTTGCACCTCACAGTGTCTTCCCAGCCCATCTTTCTGACTGACAATGTTGTGATGAGGGACATGCCACAGAATTGACCCCAAGGTCTCCAGTTTAAGGGCCTGAGTCCCTGAACTGTAACATATAGTGGCATGGGAGTGGTGGGAGCATCCTCAGATTTTCCCTAAAGTCAATCACAACCCTGTTCCCATGGGAACAGTCCCCTGTGCTTCTTCTGTCACCTTACTCTGACTCCACACAGTGGCTACCTTGCCCATGAGGCTGCAGAAAGGGATTTGTTTTCCAAAGCCTTTAAAATGGCCACACTGGATGTGTCTTTCTTTGCCACCTGTCCTGCCACGGGTTAACTGGATGAGACCTCACAATCTTGGCTGTCCCCTGAATCACAATTCCTGGAGCATGATGCTGCTCCTAACACAGCAGTCCCTAGAACCTCTGCCCATATTCCAGGGGCAGTGTCATGGGGAATGGGCCCTGTGACCCCCAGCAACCTCAAGACAGCCAGAGTGCTCAGAGATGATCTCCAGATGACACACAGTATGTCCCTTTCCCAAATACTGAGTCATAATTTTATAAGTTTCTGTCACACTGTGGTCAGTATCACTCTGGCCACCTGAGCCCTTGCTTTAACATATCCAGCACAGACAGACCAGTGTGTCCCCAGATGCCTGAAATACTGCAGATGGTTTAGGACCTGGTGGCTGTGCAAGCCTTGGGGAAGGCGTTGGTTATATCCCATCCCAGTTGGGCTGGGATAGTGGATCTTTTCTGAGACCCCAGGAACACGCCCTGAGATGGAGTGTGATGCACAGGTTGTTGGAAACTGCTTTCAGGAAAGTTTCCTTTTTGACAGGCAAGACTCAGAGCACCTCCATCTTTCATAGTGCATTGCCCAGCGAGGGCAGTGTGGAAGAGCACCATGCTGGGTTCTATACCAAGTATGGCCAGCATAGCGGGCAACCATTAGGTCAGAAGCAGTAACATCATTAGCATACTATGCCAAATTATATGGCCAGCATCCCAAGTAGCCTAGTGAATGTCCGACAAAGCAGTTTTCCAGATATCATGAGTTTGATATAGGTTATTTGGAAATTACTTTTGGAAAAGGTCCCTTAGTGACAGGCAGGGGTCATAGCATGTCTTTCGTAGTGCATTTTGCAACCACAGGGCTGGGGTCCACACCAGGAAGGAAGAGGGGGCTCTAGGTTATGACAGTTGTGGTGACGGCATAGCTTACTTTGCCCCATAATAGGACCCCAGTATCACAAGCAACTTCGAGAATGTCCATGAAAGCAGTTTCTACAGAGAGCAGTAGTTTGCTAGAGTTTCCAATGATAGAGAGAGAGAGACAGAGAAAGAGAGAGAGAGAGATCTTCAAGATAAAACATATATTGACATTCAGGTCCGGGACTGCTTTTATTGTTTCATTGACTTGGCCAGGTTCTTGGAAATGGAAAGGGGTGTTTCTGGGACGTGGTGTTCTATTTTCCTAATATTTTTTAAGAGGACCACACAGATGGCCACAATGTTGCTTCATACAGAACTTGTGGAATATAAATATAAATAGCCCACCAAGGCAGAGCATTCATCCCGCCCAGGAGAACTGTTCCCTGGCCTCCCTTGGAGTACCAGGATGCCCAGCATTCTGTTGCCACCTGCTTCCTTGGTCTACTGGCCTTCACCTCTGCGTAGCACCCCACATACTGCCCAAAGTGTGCCAAAACAGCCATGAGTGAGAATGCAGAGGAGTCAGGTACCACTGTGGCCCATCTTGGGGCTGCCTGTTGTGATGAGTGCCCAAGTACTGGCAGGGCCTAGGAGGAGAGAATGCTTGGGAGAAACCAGTCTTAAGGAGCAGAAGGTGCTGTTGGACACTGACCCCATCTAACCAGGGGATGGAGAGAAGTGAAAGATACTTCACTAGTAACTAGCTTGGGTTTGGATCAGGAAGAATGCAGTAGGGAGGGTGTGTTGGCCCTGTTAGGTCCTCTCCTCTGGACTAGCTGGAGGATAGGAAGCTCTGTCCCATCTGCAATTCCAGGCCTTCCCCACCCAGCATCAACTGCTCTCAGCCACAGGTAGCTGTCCCCAAACAGAGAGGCCTACTGATCCAAGCTGGCCTGAGCAGGAGGACAACCCAAGCATCCTGCAAGGAAGCTCTGCTGGGTACCTAACCCAATTCTCTTCTACTGTGTGTCCAGCCAATTCCTTTTTATGCCAGCTGTGGCAGAGCTGAAGGAAGTCTGATCCCCAGCTCAGTTCTGCTGAGGTTTACAGGGGCTCCACGTGGGGCTGTGGGATATGTGAGAGTGGGCATGTGGGCAACCCCTACAGCCTCCCTATTGTGTGCCTGGCTCCTCTGATGGTCTCAGGCCCCACAGGTGCCTGTCCTCCCCAGGGTTCTGGGCCCTGGAACCCATTTGGGGGACCTAGCAGGTGAGTATTGGATCATGGACCTAAGTAAGGTTGGCTCGGTTGGTGTTGGGTTGCAAGGTCAAGGCCAGAGTGGGAGAAAAGGCTTGTGTGTGCTCTGCCTATGGTCAGGGGCCCTCTACCAGGGCCTAGGGAAGAGGTTTGAATAATGGGGTAATGGGAAGTGCAATAGGGGTCTGGTGGGCAGATGACAGAGGAGGGTACAACAGTGGTGGTTTCATTGTTGAAGAGGAAGGTGTCCCTCTGTCATAGCCCAGGGAGACCCGTTCCACAACTGAAGGTGAGGATGCTGGTGGCTGTTACTGAGAGCTGGTCTTCAATCACTTGAAAACAGAAGTGTTCAGTCCATTTTGCACCTACCCTTGAGTGCTCTCCAGATCCACCTGGCCCAAGGACCTCAGTCCCATGGTATTAGCTGCACTCCTGAGTTGGAACCCCAGTCTGTGCTGCTCCTGGGTGCCCACACTTTCCCCACCGCCTCCCTGATCATGCTCATCCGCATCCATCTCCACAGGGCCTATCCCAGTACATAGAGAAGTCAAGGTACTGCCTCAGGTCTATAGTCTGACTCCAGGAAACAGTGGCCTGCGATTCCAGCGCCATGGAATTGCTGCACTGGGTCAACAGATGATGAGACTTTCTGACTTTGCCCTGACTGCAGAGCCTGAAGCCTTTGGGGAAGAGGAGCCCCTGCAGTGCCCCAGGCCTGTGGCTGCAACAAAGGTGTGCTAAGGGGATTGTTGGAAGGGTAGGTACCACAGGCGACACAGAGGTGGAAGTCCAGGACCTCTGCCTACCCCAGGCCCCCAGATCCTTGTCACAGAAGTTTGGGAGCCCTTGACAGGAGCAATGCTATGCATCTAGAAGAGTCCACCTGCTAGTTTATGCACCAAATGCACTGGAAGCAAATTTCTCAAAATGAAAGAGAAATTTATATCTAGACAGGCTCCATGGAAAGAGTGCTATTCAATCCTAAGAACAGGAAAAGAGAGGGACTCCCTAGACTCCCTTTTCCCAAAGTGCTTGCCAACCAGCAGCT